AATTTACAAATATAATAAATTTTATTATATTAAAGATATATTAGGTGTAGAAATTAATTCGGTGCATTTTTTCACAAAGTCTTGACGACTTTATCGACTCAAAGCCGTCATATTCTTTCAGAGAGGAAATTCGTTAGTTACGCAATAAATGGCACAATGGTCATCTAAAATTATGGAGATTATTTTAAACGTTAAAATTGTATTTAATTTTTTGTAAATAAACATTGAAGTTTGTAAGAAAAGTCTCCGAATTAATTTCTACACCTAATATATAAATATCATATTTATTACATAAATTAAATTTCTCGTTATAACACGTGATTTCACGTGACGTGACAGTAATGTGTTCCTACTTTAAAGAGCACCGAATCAAAATTGAAAGTGTAATAACACAGAGTGTGCCAAAAATTAGTTCCGTAATTCAATTGGCAACCATTTTGGTACAACGCAACGTCATTTGGTACTTGACAGTTGTGAAGTGGTCATAGGAGATTCATTATGAAGTACTATACAATTCAAGAACGTCCGTATATCGTAGAAACTTATATTGCGAATCAGTGTTCGCTAATGTTGCGTATAAGAAAATTACGAGGAAATTTCGATCGAAATCGAAATGAGTGCCTGATCGCAAAAATTTTTAGGACACCCTGTATCTACATTCTGCAATATATTCCACGTTTCGCATTGTATTCGAGGAAATGAAAAATTCCAATATTCAAATATTCCAATTCTCGTCGCCCAATTCTTCATTCACCCTAAAACCTCTTCAAGGATGCGACGAAATTCCCCTTCCTTCTCTATCTAAGTCATCAAACACACGAAAAAACACCGCTACTCTAACATTCCAAATCGTCGAACAATTAAGGGGATAATCTAGTCCAGACCTTTAAAAAAATCGGTTCTAGAGGCTATATCTGAAACCGATATCGTTTCCCACTTTTATAATTACTTCCCACTTCAATAATTAATACGCGTAGAAAGATCGACACTGTTTCGTTTAAAAAGTACTCTAGTTGTTTAAAAATGTAAAGTATGTAACCAATTTAAAGGGACACTCGTTATTGGAAAAGTGAAATACGAGGCTAATTTTTAGGACACCCTGAAGAAATGTAAGAAGTGAAGATACTGGAGAATTTTAGCGAAAATTCAGCGTAAAAGTTAGGAGGAAATCGAGACTGTCCGACGAGCCAAAATGTTGGAAGTTATTTTCGTCACGATCCAGTGACAACAGGTTTCCCTTTTCGTGGAACGTACGTTCAGGTGATTCGTGGGTTCCGCTGCCAGGAATGTAGCAACGATCTCCTTGCACGTGAGATACTTGATGTGTCCAATGGATGGCACGAACACAACGTGGGGGTGCACGCTCCATTGGAAACGGAACCACCGGTCCGTGGATTTATTGACAATCTTGAAAGTCTTTTTGTACATTTTGCTAATGAAACAGAGGCCGTAGTCGAGAATGTAGGTCAGAGACACCGCGAAAATCATGCTGCTGGAAGCTGAAACACATTTTACCCTCGCTGTTAATTTAAACGGAAGGATCTTAAACAGTGCTTGACAGAGAAATTGAATTTCGTCGAATGTAATTCGCGACGAGAGGAATGTATCTTTTATCGGAGATTTAAACGAATTCTTCCGGAATTTGTAGAAGTGGTTTAAACGCAATTCTCTTCTACCTGACGTCAAAGAATTCTGTTTCAAAGAAACCCTCCTCAACCTCTGCGAGTCCCGATTGCCAGTGGAGATTCTACGTTTAGTGTCCTCCAGCGGCAGACCGTCCAAAACGATCGACTCTACGTAACACTCGCCGTCTAAATTTATCAGCAAATTCTCGTAAGGATTGTCCACCACGTGTAGACGAATTTTTCCCGTGTGTTTTCCAGTTTTATTGGGGGAAAATGTGGTTTTAAAGCGAGCCGTGTTTCCTGGCGACAGTCGAACTACTGTGCACTTGTCGTGTGGCTCTAGAACAACGAAATTTATTTTTAGCGAAATTAAGCCGATCAGTTTGAAGAAACGTAACTCCATTGAAATTTGACATTTTTAGTGAAAATAATTTCCATAATGTTCGATACACTTTCGCCAACGTACTATGAGAAGAATCTCTAAGAAAAGATCGAAAAAAATTTGGAAAAAATCTAAATCTCTAACAAGGGAACATCTCGAAGCGATAGTCGCTAAAATTTATGAAACTTTGATATATGGTAACACGAAAAAAAATATTTGACGTGTATTTTTTTTTTATTGGCAATCGTCCACATTGAAGGAGTGAAAATCGCCGTCAAATATGGGCGGTAATAGACATATTTGGTCCAATACCTCAAAAATGATTAGAGACAGAGGAATGATGTTCACCGGAAAATTTTAAAAATACAAAATTCGTCAATTTACACTATTTTTAACCCTTTGTGGTCGTATGTCTGTTCTCAGCCGCCAAAGCATTTATATCATACGATGGAGAAATATAAAATATAATTTTTATATGAAATAAAACAACATATTATTGGGTTAAACATACGTAAAGTTAAAAAAAAGAGATTTTGCATTTATAACCTTGCACATTAATGTTCGTTCAATGAAAATTAATTCCGACCTGCTCAGCACCCTTGTCTGAGCTAAATACGACCGCAAAAGGTTAATAGTTTTCAAAATATCAGAGGAATATTTACTACTTCCCACTTTGAGGACGATTTTCACCCCTTCACTGTGGACGATTGCCGACATGCAAAAATACGTATCGAATATTTTTTTTATTAGTAATTTTTCCCCTTATTAGAGAATTAGATTTTTATGCACGCGGAATTAATGCTCTTGGCAAAAGTCTAACGAGCACTATGGAAATTATTTGAAATAAAAATGTGAAATTTCAATGATTTCACGTTTTTTCAAAGTGAACGTCTTAAAACCGCGGGAACTTTTTAAAATAATTTCTAGATATCTGAAAAGAAAAATTACCATCGCAGTAGCCTTCCCAGGTCTGCAACAAAGGCTGAGTGTCGGAACAGGCGGAGAAATTAAACACGTTACTCTGATCCTCGTCGATTTCCACGATGACTTTGGACCTGATGAAGCCGACGTTTTCCACGGCGAAATGCCTGCAACTGCACTCGTCGATCAATGTGCGAGCAAAGTTCAAAGTAGGTCTTTCCCGTGCTCCATGAGCTGGTTCTGTAATCGCCACTTCCGGCACGCAAGATTCTCCTATCAGTTTGATGAATAGCTGATCTGCCTCTAGTTGAGATGGTAGATCCACAGTTGCTTCGAGTGTTCCTTCAAACGTCTACAAACACACTCGAGCAAATTTCGAGAACATTTCGTCGAATATAATAATTGTAATTACTACGCGAAGCATGTTGGATTTCACCTCTATGGAGTGCGGAGTGAAAGAAACGGTGAACATTTTGTAGCTCATAGGAGGGATTTGTGCAATTTCTGGTTCTATCACGAACGTGTTTCGTTTCGCTGTTCGCGGTAACAGAGATTCTTCTACGAATTGAACTATCACGCGAGCTGAGACAACTCCGCGATTGTGAAGCTTGAAACAGGTCGTGTGAGTGCTGAGAACACTGATGTATCGAAAATTAAGGGATTTTTCTTGGCGAGAGAACACCGTATGTGCTCCAATCTATGGAAAAAAGGTAATTAACCCTCGGAAGGCGAATGGTTTTAGACGGACGCGGGATCATTTTGAGCTATAGCAAAATTTCTATCGTACACGGGTTTCAAGAAGGAATTGTGTATAAACGTGTATACTTTCAACTGTATATATTTTATATTTTTCTTGTTTATTTATTTCCTGTACCAAACGTAATCTCAGCCTCCTGACTTTATCACTGCTGTGTCAAAATGACCCTGCATTCGTCGTACGAGGGTTAAAGCGTGAATTAAAAATTGAAAGGAGTAGAATTTTTAATGAATTCCGAATTTTTTTTTACCTCTTTTGGACACTCGAAGTCTTGAATTCGATCTACCACGTGGTTCTCCTGGAATATGGAATCGAGGTCCTGAAAATCGATACTCGGGACAGAAGAATTCACGGACAACGTGACTACTTTTCCTTCTCTATCTTCAGGAACACTGTTTTCCACCATAACTGTGATTTGCTCCTCCTGAGAACCTACGAATTCTGGGTGACAAGTCATAGCGATGCTGTCTGTTTCGCCAACGTTCACGTTACCCTGTATCTTGTTTATCGTTATTGGACCAAACGTTAGTTTCTCTGGTCCTAAAGGAAGCCTGTTTGATAAGATAAATGTTCGATTTACAGGCACTAAAAAGTGGTCGATGTTTGTGAGTGATTGGAGGACAAACTAAAACAATACTTTTTGTATTATAAAAGTACGCGTGTATAGACTAGAAGACAGGAGTGAAAAATTGAAAATTTTTAGAAATATGGCATTTTTGGCACTGCCCTAAACGGCGGGCATGATTCAATCCGTACGATTGATCAGAAACAAAAATTTTTAATCTTTTAACATTTTTTAGGATTTTGTTGAAAAATGTTGACCTTTTGAAATCGAGGAATTTACTAGATGACCCCTTAAGATCTTACTTTGACTCTGTTCTTTCACTTCTGGCAGATTTTGTTCCCTTTTTCGAGACTCTTTTTCTCGCAACACTTTGCCTTCGGTTAACCTCTTCCGTTGTCGTGTTACTCATGTAAATCACGGATGGATGTCTGTACGAAAGTTGAATGAAATAATTTAATGGGAATTTTCCTGTGTTCTCGATGTTGAGGTACATGGTTTTCTCGGTGCATATGGATAACGTTCCAAAGTTCACCACGGGATAAGGATAAATTCGAAACCTGTTGTATTTAAAGTAACAAATTAATCGAATTTCTATTAAGAGAGTACACCTAAAAATAGGTGAAAGTTGGGAAATTTTTTTCGTAGGTAACTATTAAATGAAAAGTTTCAACTTTTTCAGAGGATATTTATATAACTTGTAGCTTTTTTCTCCAATTTCTAGAAAGCAAAAATGTCACAAAATTAAGGAGTCATTCGCTGATTGCGAAACCTCTTCTGCTAGAACAATAGTTTAAGGATTGGAATAGAAAAGCTCTCTTTATTTCTAAATAAAAATGTATTACCTACCATATGGCGTAAGATTTTTCAAAAATTCTAATTATTATAGAAATGGTGGCAGTTTGAAGAGGGAAAATCCCTTTTCACCAAAAAAATCAACTTTAAACGTTTCTAAAAAATTAAATAATTAACATATCAAAAAAATCCTAAGCTACATTGTAGGTAATACAGTTCTACTTAAAAACAAAGAAGAATTTTTTATTTCAGACGCTCCAATCCTTGTCGGCAATGGCGGCCAGAAATTGATGTTCTCGCAGAAGAGATTTCGCAGTAACTCCTCCAATTTGTAACATTTTCACTTTCTAAAAATAGGAGAAAAAAGTTGAAAGTTACGTTTATATCCTCTGAAAAAATTGAAACCTCTGGTTTAGTAGTTACGTGTCACAAAATATTCTCAGTTTTTCGCCTATTTTTAGAAGCCTCGGTATGGCGAACCCCCTTAAAATATCAAAGTGTATACCTGGTGTAGTATGCAACGAGGGAAACTTTCAAAGGGATCTCAGCGATTAACCTGGTTTCTTTGTGCGTGTCAACCAAATGACACTTCAATATCGGAGCTTCTTTAATAGTCATTTCGATCTTCGGTGTGAATGTCACCTAAGGCAACACAGAATGTTTTTCTTTTAATTTTTAATTACTTTTTGAACATACATACTTCAACGAGTATTTCTTTTTTCGGTAAAATAGATCCAACAGCAGGTTCAATTTCCAGCTTCTTCTTAAAATTCACGGGTAAATTTAACTTTGCCAACTTCTCGGTGTCCTCCAACGTAATTCTGCGAGGATTATAATTTCCATTATCTCACTCACAGTTGTTTATACAGAATTTTCTTACACGTATTGCACTTCATAATCCCCACGATTTCTCATCGAGAACAGCGCATTTACGGGGAAATCCACCTTAACGTACTGCAAATCGATAGGATTCGCATGTTCGATATCCACGAGGACGTCGTAACTTTCTCCCGACATCCGTATAACATCGGTGAAAATAGGATCAACGTCATCTTGATCCAGGAACGCTTTGAAAATCACCACCTTCCTGTCTACCACTCCAACCTGCGTGAAAATCGTCTCGAAAAAATAATTCTTCACTTTGATCTAATTAATCTACGAGGCTGAGTCGATAAGTAAGTTACACCTGCCCCGTATTCTCGATTCAGAAGGATAATTCTCACCGAATCGATGCCTGAGGGAAGAACAATTAACGCTTTCACTTATTGTTAACCCTTCGACAGTTTATCCCGAGTGAGACTCGGACAGCGAGTTAAATAACGAACGGTTTAACTCGTGAGAGACTTTTAGGAAGAAAGTTAGGAAGGGACGAGATATTGTTATTAGAACTGTGACGCGGGGTTATGTACACTGTGCTTTAAAAATAATCACACACGACGTAATTATTAAAAAGATACGTGTAAAATATGAATTTTATTCACCCTAATTCGGAATTACATTAGACTGTCAAAGGGTTGAACGTTAAAACGTCTACGAATAACCATGAAAAAACAAATGACCCGGAAAACTCGGTAGAAAAGTGGTCCTCCTCTGCGACAATGTTCTACCACATTCTCCGACTGTGACACAGATGCTGTTGCTGAAATTTCAACGAGAATTATGAGAATCCACCTTGTAGTCTGGACCTCTCGCCATGTGATTTCCATGTGTTTGCCCAAATGAAAAAAGACGCGAGTTTGAAGAATTTCAGCACGGATGACGAAGTGAAGGAAACAACTTTAAAATGGTTACGGGAAATCGGACGCAAATTCATAATTCTGTCCTTCGTCGCGACAAATGTTCACAGATACTCAGTGACCATGTTGAGATGCAGAAGCTGGCTGTCAGTTTACGTTGGTAATAAAAGAGATTTTTCTCATCCGTTTTTATTTTTTTTTTTTTAGAGACGAGATATAACTTATTTATTGACTCATTCTCGTATCAAAGAAACACTTGTCACCGTGGCAGCATGGTAAAGGAACTGGATTTTCTCCTCTATACGAGGTTCGATCACTCCTTGAGAGG